CTTGCCCACTATAAAACAGTTTCTTTGTGCAACTGCATCGTCTGCGTCTGTCGAAAGGATGTTCAGCACATTCGGATTTGTTCATTCGGATATCAGGAACAGATTGGGAATCGAAAAAGGAGCGAAATTAGTGTTCCTCTTCAGACTTTATAACAAAAATGAAGAGAAAGAGAAGTGAGTTCCGTTTTAGTATTATTGAATTTACCATTAATACCGTTTAATTTTTAAGTTCACATGTACCGTTTTCTATTTTGATTTTCATTCCTTAGAATTGTTTGTATTCTGTTTTATATTTTTTGAGTGGAAATATAGTTTCTTGAAAAAATGAACTTTGATTTAAATCGTGATTTTTTTCCAAAAAAGTCAGGTGATTTAAATCACTTGAAAAAAATCAAGCCAACCCTGAGTGACTTAAGTGCCTTCTATGGAAGGAGGAAATTTTAAATGGGGAGTCGCGCTGGGTTTGAATTTACTAATTTTTAAAGTGGTCTTGCAGTTGGGAAAAAACGCTCATTTTTTCCCATCATTTACGAAGCGCGCAAAATTCAGAAGTAAGTGCGATTCCAATGAATTTCCCAGAATGTGCAGGCTTAAGTGGCTTCTTTGGATGCTAAAATTTTCAAATGAAATTTTGCGCTGGATTAGAAATTATGATTTTTTCGAGTAGGCCCCGACGGATGCAAAAAGCTGAAAACTCAGAAATAAGCGCGATTCGAATTAAACTTTCAAGGATCTTAGATCCAAGTCACTCGTATGGACTGTGAAAGTTTCAAGGTGGAACTTGGTCCGAAAGTCCTTGTTTACGAAAGTAGAACTCCGTTCAGTTGAAGCCAGTTTATCTAACAGTTCATAGAATACGGATTAATCGCTTTGGGAATTAGCAGCTTAAATAATGAGCGAACAAAATGAATAAACAAAATTCCTAAAAACTGTAAATGGCAACTTAAATTAGCTCACGGGCTTGACACCAAAGAACACCCTAGATGGATTGGTTATCGCATAAATTTGATTATACAACGGTTTTTTTTTTTTTTTT